GGGAGGCGCGGCCGGGGCCGGGGGCCGGGCGCCCCGTAGGGGAGGGACGCGGCGGGCGCGGGGCCGGGAACCATTTTGGGAGGGAGGCGGAGGTTGTGCCCGGCGGGGCGGACGCTGCTCGCTGAGTGACTCGGGACCCGGCCTGGCTGCCGGGGAGGCCCGTGTTTTTGTTTCTATGGGGAGACGCGATGAGCTGTTTCCCTCCTCATGACGGGGAAATCCGCCTTCAGCTTTCTGTACCCGTGGAAGGGCGTCCTCTCCGCGTGTCTGCCTGGAAGTAAAGCCGGCAAGAGGAAAGGTAGCAGCGAGCTCCGCGGCAGGACGTGGAGCCGGGGCAGCCCCAGGCTGCTTCCCAGCCGGCTCCTAGCCCGCTCTCTCCCTCTCTCTCCCCTGTAATTGCATTACGGAGCGTTGTTTTTCTTGCTACATGGTTACAAGGTTGTTTGGGCAGATGTGAGATCTTCTGAGACCACCTACATAGCTGGAAAAAATCGTCCTTTGCAAGCTTGGGGCACAAACACCCTTTGGGCGCAGGGCGAGTCTGCTACAACCAACACCCCCGGCATTTGTACAACTCATTTCTTCCCTTTACTTGCCCCCCCCGCTGCTGTTAGTTCCACTTGAAAGTGTTTTGAGTTGTGTAGTTTGCTCAGTAGAAACTACGCAAAATATTTTTGGTGATGACTCAGTACCTCGGTTTGTTGGTGTTGCTTAGAGACTAATTCCCCCACCCCCAGTGAGTGGAGACTCCTGTGGTATCTCATTCACGGGACAAACCAAAATAGCAATTACATTTTTTTTTTTCTTTTCACCTGATCCCGATTTGCTGTGCAGCTTAATTTATATCCAGCCTTGTGTAACTGCAAAAGTTGGTTGCATTTGTTTTCATTTTTCTGCATGACTTCTGGCTGCTTTTCCAGCTGTATTTGACTGTTTACTTCAATCTACAGAAAAATATAATAGGTTAGCAGAAATGTTAGTGCTAACTAATGGGCTTTCAAGATTTAAATTTGGGAAAACAAACTTGAACTTCTTGCTCTGTTCATTGTTTTGTATAACTTTTCAGCGTTTTGTAATGGGAATGGAGGTCGGACTAGTTGGGCTTGCACAGTTTGGCCAGCACTGTGGCTATTTAGTGGTCTGTCAGGCTGTTTCTTGAATTGGAAGTGGTTGGCTTCACTAGTTCCCCTGGAACAAATGTGTTTCTAGGCTGCCTGTTTAAAACAGTGCAGTAGTTTAGTCATGTGTGCCAGCATTTCTCAACCTGTGGGTCATGACCCAAAAATGGGTCGCAAGAATATAAGAGAGAATTGTGAACAAACTTTAAAAATGGATTATCCTTTAAAGGAGAAAAGTGCAAGAAACTGGGTTTTCCCTTGCAGGCGGGCTGCTTGGGGCTCCCCTGCCCCACACTGGGGGGCTGGGGCCTGGGGCACTGGGTTGGGACTGGCTACCCATGTTTACAGATGGGTCCTGGTACAAAAGGCTGAGACCCACTCTCTGTGTAACTTTGACTTCTGTTCAGTTTTATGAACTCTGGTTGTGATATGCAGGATGTTTTCTTTTATGTTGAGAGACTGTGAACTGGCTGTATATCCTGTTTGTGATTGTATACTAAGGCCTGAGAAAGGAAAGGCTATTTTTTTTTCTCACCTTGTGTATAGCTGAGGAAGGAAGGAAGAGTTGCTAGATAGTTTCTCGGGGTGGGGATGAAGGGAGAGCAAATGAGCAGTAAATGGTAGTTGTTAGCAAGTGAATCCTCCTTGGAAACTATGGCAGTGTGTGTGTGAGCTCAGCATGTTTGAGGTGTGTAGGATTTCTCCCTGGGGCTCATGACTAAGGTTTGGTTTGTGAGTAATATTGATTCTTTGTGCATGGGGCTGATAAAGGGTGACAAGTTGTTGCAGGGAGACAAGGGAGTTGTCACCTAGCCTGAGTGGTAGCAGATCTTGGGCACATGCAGCTCTTAAGAAAAGTGGGAAGCAGAGAAGGGTGCTTCATGTTTGCCTTATAGATCTGTGACTCTTACCAAGACTTCAGCATATGAGTGTGTGCAGGTTCCTTTTACAAAGCCTTTGTGTTCTTCAGCTGTCCAAAGTGGATTTTGGAGGGAATGGATCAAAGCAACTGGGAGGCTTGGAGGAAAGGGGTTGGAGGGAGGTTGATGGATGCTGGTTCCAGGGCCAAGATACTGGACTGTGGGCGTGCTTTCAAGAGAAGTGATAAACCTGAAATTTTCACCTGAAGTTTGAGTGACAGGCCAGCAAAGGGAGCTTGACTACTCAGAAGCTTTTAGAGGTACTGGATTCTCTTGCAGTGAATTGATCTCCATTTAGAGAAAGGAAGCCAAGGTCAGGTTGAGAGAGAGAGATCTTTAATTTCCTTCTCTTTAAGTAAAAGTGCCTCAGTGGGAAAATAAATCCAAATAGGTAAGTCTTATGGCTAGCTAATAATAATTATCAACTTAGAGTCCCAGAGGTCCACTACTGAGGGCCCCATAATAGTAGTTTTGAACCACTGAGAGACACATAAAAAGGTAAGGATTGTTCAGTGCTTCAGCATGTTAGTACAGTACACATCAAGATCCCAGTTGGTGTCAACCCAAGAAAAGTCAAACCTCAAGCACTTGGGGCAGAACAGGGACTATGGGAGCTGTGTATGTGAATCGGATAAGGTGCATGGGTAACAAGGAAGCGGTTCTTAGATGAGACATTTTTCCAGGCTCTGACTTTGGCAGAGATGAATCCCAGGCAATGACTCTGGCTATCTCGGGGACTTGTTTCCTTGCCTTGTTCTGTCTTCATGGTGTGCAGCTATCAAAGGTGGATACTTGAACATGTGCAGTCCAGACCTGTCATGTTGGAGCTGAGTGGGATTATGATAACAATGCTTTGCTTCTACGTTTCTGTAGACTTCTCTTGCTATGAAAAGGAGGACAAGAGTCAGGTTTAAAGGTTAGAGAGCTGATGTGCTGAGTGTTTACCATGAAATGGGCATTAGTGTGAGATGGTCATTCACTCCCCTTACCTGGTGAGGTACAAGGAACTAGGCTGTCATAGGTGTTTTTTTTGTTCTGTGTTTTTCTCACTGTAGTGTTGATTTCATGTGTATGAATACACACATTTGATGAAGCTGAAGTGTACTTCTCTTTGCAGGGATGTATTTGGTAGCTGTGTTGGTCTGAGACAAAAAGAAACACAAAACACTAAAAATCTTGGTTCAGAGATGATACCTTTTATTAGACCAACTAAGAAATTAAAAAAAAAATTATCTATCTTTGCTCTCCTATTTGTCCTTTTGTTGCATGCCTTATGTTCCCCTGTGATATTGTTGAGTCTCTGAAAATAAGTACTAGAAACCTAGCTGAATACCTTTATATAAAAAAAAAAAAAAAAAAATTTGAATCAAATGTTAACGGTAAACCCTAACAGGAAAAACTTTAAAATTGGTTGGATTTTTTTTTCCTGATGTATTAATAAGCATAGCATTTGTCCTGCTGTTCAAGGGACTTCCTGGTTTTCTACCTAAAAGATTTATTCTGTGTATGTTAGGAATCCTGGCTCGTTTAGTGTTTTTTGGGTTGTTTTGAACATTTTCAAGGTAGTCTATTAATATAGCTAGCCTTTCCACTGAGGTTGCATCAAAGTGACACGTTTCACTTAACAAAAGTAAATTTCATAACAAGTGCTTTTGAAGTTATTAGAAATATTTCTGCACCTACCTAAACAAAGAATAGAATTAGTACTTTTCCTTTTTGACTACTTCTGCAAATAAGGCAAAAAAAAATTCCCATTCCACTTTCTGAATGACTTTGGTGTGTTTTCAGCTTGCTGAAATACAGAACCCAGGAAGACCAGGGAATTTTGAGAGATGGATAGGAACCAAAGGAAGGCCTAGACCAGTGGTTCTCAACCTTTTTAAACTCCAGGCCGTCCCCAATATGAGTGCCACTCAATTCACTAATAACTTGTGAATTGAGTGGCACCTCATATCAAAAACAAATGTACTTCTCTCCTTGTGGGAGGGGTGCAGCTGGGAGGAGGAGTGACTGGGTAGGAATGTGTCCTTGTACCTTACAGCACCTTTCAGAGGTGCTCAAGGGATCTCTTCCACTTTTTTCTACCAAATTGGGAAATAAAAGCACTGACAGAAGGTTTGAATATTGAGTTCAACTCAAAACTGTTTGTCATGAAAAAGTAATATTATCTATCAAATCCATGATGTGTCTGACAATACAGCCTTCCTGGTGGTGGTGTTAGGAAAACAAAGATTAATAAAGACCTGCTACCAAAGGTGCAGTACAAATGTAAAACCTAAACATCTTTTGGGCCTTTTTGTTTTTTTCAGAGTGCCTGTACTCTGATACCATTTCTTCCTTGTTCTCCCCCCTTCACACCTGCAACAAATGACTTTTCATTTTCAGTCTAGAAACTTTTAATAGAACTTCTGATCTACTTTTCACATTTTAAAGGGCTGGCTGCAGTAAGAATTCTCACTCTTTGCCATCTGCAAATTATAGATGATATTCCTTAAAATGGAAATAGATTATGTTTGCTCCAAATAAAAATTGATTTTGAAACGCACCTGAGTTTTTCTATAAACAAAATTCTCTTTTGAATCCTCATAGGGAAGACTTAGAATGTGTCAGTTCACCTGTTTTCTGAATAACCACTGAGTACTGTTTTTTCCCTTTATTACAGAAATGAGCCGTCAGACTGCTACAGCACTCCCGACAGGTACTTCAAAGTGTACGCCATCACAGAGGGTGCCTGCATTAACTGGCACTACAGCTTCCAACAATGACTTGGCTAGTCTTTTTGAGTGTCCTGTGTGTTTTGACTATGTGCTGCCACCTATTCTTCAGTGTCAGAGTGGCCATCTTGTTTGTAGCAACTGTCGACCCAAGCTCACATGCTGTCCGACTTGCCGAGGCCCGTTGGGCTCCATTCGCAACTTGGCTATGGAAAAAGTTGCCAACTCTGTACTCTTCCCATGTAAATATGCCTCTTCAGGATGTGAGATAACCTTGCCACACACAGAAAAAGCAGACCATGAGGAGCTGTGTGAGTTTAGGCCTTATTCATGTCCATGTCCTGGTGCTTCGTGTAAATGGCAAGGTTCTCTGGATGCTGTAATGCCACATCTAATGCATCAACATAAGTCAATAACAACATTACAGGGAGAAGATATAGTTTTCCTTGCTACAGACATTAATCTGCCTGGTGCTGTCGACTGGGTTATGATGCAGTCTTGTTTTGGCTTTCATTTCATGTTAGTGCTGGAGAAACAGGAAAAATATGATGGTCACCAGCAGTTCTTTGCAATTGTACAGCTGATAGGAACACGCAAGCAAGCAGAAAATTTTGCTTATCGACTTGAGCTTAATGGTCATAGGCGGCGATTGACTTGGGAAGCAACTCCTCGCTCTATTCATGAGGGAATTGCAACAGCCATTATGAACAGTGACTGTCTAGTCTTTGACACCAGCATTGCACAGCTTTTTGCAGAAAATGGCAATTTAGGCATCAATGTAACTATATCAATGTGTTGAAATGGCAATCAAGCATTTCCAGGCCAGTGTTTTAAAACCATTGCATTTAATTTTGCAGAACCTAGGGTAACCATCTGACTGCCAGACAAATTATTTGGTAGATGGAGGCTAGACATACATGAAGGTAAATAAGAGGAAAGGCTGTTAAATTACAGGAAGCAGTTGCATGTAGTAACACTAATATATTTAAAATAAGTTGACAGTAAACCACTGAAATATATATACACCCAAAATGGGCATCTTTTGTATTAAGAATTGATTCTACAGGAAATGTTGTAAAATAATTCTAAAAACTTGTTTGTAGATTGATTGTACTGTTGAAAAGGATACTGTTTCGTGTTTTTGTGGGTTTTTTGTTTTGTTTTGTTTTTTCTTTTGACTGACAAGCCATGTTGAGCGGTCTGGTCTCTGGCCGCTGCTTTTTTTTCCCCCTTTGTAAGTCACTACATAGTATTGCTGCTGTTTGTGTATATTTTTTGTGTATTTGCTAATTTTTATTAACTTCTAGTTTTTCATTAAATAAATATGACTTTTCTGTAATTCAGGTTTTTCTCTTTTTTTGTACCTTTTAAAAATTAATTACAGGTGTCTTATTTGATATGCATAATTGCTTATGGTAAAAAATATAATTCTGTATATTTGGTAAATTTTGTCTCTTTCCAGTAGTCCATTCATTGGTAATACTGTTCTTAATTGAGCTATTTTGTGAATGTATTAAATGCTAAACTAGTAAGTATGTTGGAAGAAGTACCAGGAAAAAAAAGCTCCTTTAAAAACAGGTCTAGATTTTTTATTTTTATTTTTTGATTTATACTTCCAAACAAAGTAAAGAATTATTAGGGGAACATTTAAAAAAAAATGAAAATTCAGGCACAGTTTCAGATTTCAAGAAATGTAGAGACTCAATCTCATCCTTGTATTTATTGTTTTTGCAGTACAAAGAAGGCATTGTTTTATGCAGTATTTGTAACTCTAAAAACAGGCCATTTGCTTAAAGGCAGTATCAGAATAAGATGTTCTTGGTCTTTTATAATTGTCATTAAACGAATACCTGGCAAATTAAAAACTCTTGGTTTTTTTCCTTTAGCACAAATTTGGGTAAACTTAATGTTGTTTCTCAGTTTCTTGTTTTCTTTGGTTGTGGTTGTTACTAGAGAAAACAAACTTCCTTTCCTCACCCCTGCCCCAATCATACTAAGCTTGTATATCATTTTAGTGATGTGGTGTTGGCATACTTTCAAATGACAGTGTACATGCAATTTGCCTACGTTTAAAGGTGTAAATGATCTTCTGGTCCCTGTGCAGGTTGTCTGAAGTCATGTAACTTATTTCACTTTGACTGTGTATTGCTATGTCTTTATGAAACACCTAGAGAGAACTGATACAGGAAATAACAATTCTTTTCCATATTATTTAACATTTCAAACTATTTTAAAAGTATCTTGCTAAATTTAGTAACTGTAAACAGCTGCTCTTGGGAGAAATGGCCTTCATATCAGCTACTTTTTCTAGAAATTTTACTGTGCATTGTTTGTCTTACCAGAAATAAATGCATTAAGGGGCTTTTGCTTTACTCTAATTATTATTGGTGCAGTGACAACATGATGGGGTAAGTAGTTCTGTAAGTAAGGAATATGAATTGGCATTGGCTTCAGACTGACCAGACCAGCTCAGAAAGAGTTCACTTTATACAGTGAAAGCAGTCAACTTCAGAAATGCTTTGTGGTGATTAAACTGTTCGAGGAAGCATCCCTGAGAAATGTACTGGCATCTTATGCCAGTAGGGGAACTTCAGGGTCTGTAATCTGTACTATTATTTCAAGTGAATACAGTGTTATGTAAAATAAGCAGTTGCCTTATTTTAGATAACTTGATTTTTGTCCAAGCAGTTACAAGATTGATTGGCAGGTTTAGAGTTAAAACCATATTTAAATAATGCCTAAGTAATGATACCTTTTCTTTCTAAGTCTTGCCAGGGTGTTGCTGATTTGCTATATAGCTGGAGTTTGGTTTGAATAACAGCCTAGCTAGTGTAATGAATGCTGTGTAATTCTAGGAACTTGCCTAAAACTCTAGTGGTTTTCTAATGTGCTGCTGAAGATTAATACTTCTCTATAACTGTAGCACTTGAAATACAAGCAAAAAACATGTTATTTGGAATTTAAGTTATTTTTAATTAACATTCTTGCATGTGCAAAAATAGGAACACACTGGTTCCTAAAGGCTTAATGCATTGCACCTGCAATGACCTGATACTGAGAAAGAAGAGGTACTTCTGAGCTGAATGTAACTGGGGAGATTGTGCAGATAGATGCACTTTGTCTCTATTAGCAGTTACTGAAATATTAAGGAACAATTTTAAAAGGATTTTCATTGTATTTTACGGGTAATGTATGCTATAGTATAACTAATACTGCATGCTGGGTTTTATTAAAATATAAGCTAGTACATACTCAGTGTTGTGTAAGAGCCTACATAGTATATTTCAATGTAATTTATAAGACATAGCAGAGAATCAGATGCAAGGGACATTTAGACCCAGATTCTCAAAGGTATTTCAACATCTAAATATTTTGAGGATTTAGGCCTAATAAGTGTATGCTTTTGTGATACAGTAAGACTTACTAATGACCTATGTTTAAAACAAGTGTACTGTCTGCTATCTAATCTAAAAATAAATGGTACATTGAAAGTGCTGGAAATGCTTTACTAACACTGACTTTACTTCAGAAGAGTGTATTATTTTGTTATGGTAGAAGAAGTACTCCATTTACCTCTACTTAAAAATAACAGAATGAAATAGTATTTTGTATATTTATTTTCATAAACTTTGGGGACAAAAATAGAATCACTTGTCACTTCCCTTTAAATACCTATTTTTGGAGGGGGACTTTTAAAAAAGAAAAGAAATCTCAAGGGAAAAACTTGATCAAATGAGCCAGTATAATATTTAATTGGCTTCTCTGTTCTGACATTCTGGTGTGCATTTCTTTATTTAGCATGTCAAGTTCTTGGTCATAATATTCATTTCAAACCAAATTAAATTTACATTTTTTGCACTGTTCCCTGTGATAGTACTATATTTGAAGCCATATTTTAAATTTAATGTTATTGAACTGATTTAATATTTGTTGTAACTTTTCAAATCTAGTCTGATTAAAACTGACTTGTTAAAGTTACGCCGTTTTTCATGCATAAGCTGACTATCAGATAATGCAGTTCATAAAATGACTTGAAGTTTGAGCAGAAGAAAAAAGCAGCATCAGTTTGCAAGCCTGATTATCTTGTAGTCTTAAGTCTACAGTCAGAGGCAACTGCATTGTGCAATTTCAAGCATGAGTATCTATTTACAACTTGCATTCAAATAACCCACAGTGCAATGAAGTTATGACTTTGAAAGTCCTTTACTATTCAAGTTGAGACTAGGAATCATATGATAGTGGCAAAGAATGAACAGCTGGGTACTACAGAGCACAGAAAATAGTGCAGTGAAAGGTACAGATGGAATCAAGTTAGTTAAATGGGTAACAGCAAAAACTTATTCTTATAGTAAAGAACTGTTCAAAATATTATTATTAAAGCAAGAAATGCAATTTGTCTCCAAGCAAAGCTTTCTAGCTTCCTGCTTGCATATAGCCAGAAAACAGTATTTACTCATTCCAAGTTCAAAGAAAATGCTTTTGCAGTTGAGTGTTTGCACAGCTAAAGTAATTGTGTTTAAATTTCTTGCCTGGCTCTTCTAAACCTAGTTTTGGCAGTGGAATGCATTTGTGCAACAAGCATAACGTGTGGGACTCAGCAGAGCATTTAGGAATTGGAAACAGCCCTTCATGTAGCTGTTCTACACCCCTGCCTTCTAAAGCTGATTTCAGCAGCCATGTTGCTACAGAAACTGATATGCCAGTCACCACACTCAAACTCTATAAGCACCTTTTTCATAAAACTAATAGTTGGGCTGATTACAAAAATGCATTATCATAAGCAGCCAACCCCTTCCCAATTTAAATGGGTAGCTCCTTCAGTATCTTCAGGTTTCATAGTGCTCTGTGGTCCCAAAAGTTGGCTCCTGCTAAGATAACAAAAAGGAGCTGAGTCTCAAGGTAGAGTAAAACTTTTCTATGCCTGCCCCTCTGGTCGTGTGGAGAGAATGTGGAATATGTAGTGTAGTGCAAAACATTCTTCTCATCATGGAAATGAGAAACTAACCCATTTAAGTATTCTCTGGCCTTTTGACATCTGCCTGCTTTACAAAATGTTACAGAGCACAGCCCATTTACTTGGGGAATCCCTTCAGAGGAATGGAATGATGGACCTTCATGTTCTGAAGCAAGTACACAGGTAAGGAAAAGAATGTGTGTGTGTTACATTGGAAAGCATTAGATTGTTTACAGCTGTATTCCAAAACCTTAGGAGGGTTTCTTAATGCAACATGGGGAAACGGATGTCTTAATTTCAGCTTAGTTGCAAGAATACTACTGAATCAAAATCAGCTCGCTCTGAACAAAAGGCGGCTGAACAGACTCCCTTCTAGCCTGTGCATACATACGTTAGCAAACGACAGTGTGTATGCTTTCACCTTGCTTGCCAATTATGGAACAGTTACCACCCCATGTAACAAATCTCTCTCAGACCACTATTGTAAACCTTTTAACCACCAAAAATGTATTTCACAACTAGCCAATAAGAAGTAGCTCTAAAAGTTCATTTTCTTTCTTTAAGGTCAAGTATTTTATTCATCTACTGCCAAACAGTGGAGAACAAGTTAACAGCTTACAAGTATCTGCATTACTAAAGGAATAAGAAATACTTCTCAACTTACCTTTGATAGGGGGGAAAAAGGCACCTAGTGTGATATTTGAGACATGCTACCACTTCCTGGGGCTGGGGATATCAAACGTTAACTTCCACTTTGAACTGTGTATACACTTTTTGCTATACTTGGATAAACGTTGAGAACTTACTAAATTTCAAAGCTCAGACTCATCTGCCTTGTGAAATCTCTCAAGTACTTCTCTGCAAGAGCATCGTGGCTTTTGGAAAATGAGAGATGGCAGAAAAACTTGTTGCAATGAGAATAATCTTTCTTAATTTTTAAATGTACAGATAGTCCTTCAGCCTACTTTCTACTAGCATGCTTACCTGCAAACTCACCTGAAAAACTGTCTACCAGTGCATTAAAATCCCTATTCTGGCATGGGACCACATTAGACAGCCCACATGCTGGCTTCAGGGAGGACACTTACCTTTTAAGTAATGTTGAGAGGATGTTACGAACCTAAAAGTTGTTTTGTATAGTCTGACATATGCCTATCAGAATAGAAGAAAATGTTGGAAACCAGGTACTTTGCTTCCATTCCTAGCCATGCTAGGTGGCTTTAACTTACAACTCTGAGATCCTTAAATGAAAACACTCAAGTGATACATTTGAGATTTATCATTTTTCTTATTGGCAGAAAAGGTATGACTTTGATAACTGGTTATGGTTTTGAATAAACCACTCTTCCGCTGGCCTATTGCTGGATTTGGACTTGCTGTCAGCATCTCTTTCCTTCTGACACTGGTTAACTGTTCTTCTTACCTTCTAGCAGCACCTTTATTCGGCAGGTGTTCATTAAGTGATTGTAACTTGTGTGTTTTGTGTAATTTCTGAGTATGATCACCATCTATATGAACTTAATATCTACTGGCTTTTCTCCTAAGCTATTCCACAAATATTTAAACAGTAGTAAATATTTTTACTGATCTGCATTTGAAGAAACGATAAGTTCTTTTTCTGTAGCTAAACTTATCCATACTACACTTCAGTTATTTTCATGTTGGATATTTTTGTTTCATAATATTCAAGAAATTGCCTTTCAGCTGGTGGGGTGTCTTTTTGGAATAGTTTTTATGTATACTCATTAAAGTTGGCTTATTGCTGTAACTGGTATTGCAAGTCCTATGAACAACGGGGGAGTGTTAAAAGAAAGTTTTAAATGAAGGAAATCTGAGCAGAGTGAAGGAGACTGATTTTTTGCTTTATTTTTATCTTTCCTTTGAAAAATTCTTATTTTGTGACTTAATCTTTAGTTTAGAAATCCTTGCAGAAATGCCTAATAAACTTTCAAATTTTTCTGTAAAATTGTTTTACTCTTCAAGAACAGATTTTTGTGATTGTCCATACCCAAAATAATTGGAAATAAGTTTAACTTAGAAAAGTTAAGTTTAGAAAAGTGAATTTAGAAGGTGTCAATATACAACTGAACTTGCAGAGAAGTAGGGCAAACCATTCAAGCCTTTTGAAAAATGTCACTATCTACTTGGGTGCACAAGTTGCATATATTAAATTTATGTGGTAGATGGGTACAAATCCACTCTAATACTAGTAGCCCAACTGAAGACTGAGTTGAGTTCCTGCATATCACTGTTAGCCTTAATTACTGTTCCCATGCTGTGCACCTTTTTTTATCACTTGCAATTGGAAAATTGATCAGCTTCTAAATTTTCATATGCAGGTAATCTGTTTTTAAAGTTTACTATTTAAATGCTCAAGTGCGGTCTTGGCTGAAAATCCCCCATCAAATGCTGCATTAAGAACTTCATCAAGGCAGCTTGCCATAACAAAAGTCAAATCCTGCCGCACATTCACTGCAATCCCTTCCAGATCTTTTTCATTTCTTTGTGGAATGATGATTCTCTTCAATCCAGCTCTATGTGCTGCTAGGACTTTGTCCTTAATTCCCCCAACCTATTAAAAACACAATTGGGAAAAGGAAAGTTATTTAGGTATGTGTTTCTTTCACCAAAGACATGAAGGACATTCAGGTTGCTACTTTTAATTTCTCTAAAGCAGAGGTTCCCAAACTTTCTTATTGCATACCCCCTTCCATATTTACCAGCTGCCTGCTGGGAACCCCTGATCTAAAGCAAATAAGATAGGATACTAGACCTAAGTACAAAACCTTCCCACTCCCTATATAAATAGCATGTACAGTTTTTTATTTGAAACATTTTCAGCTCTGGCTTAAGAGCATAACAAGATAAAAGTACTGCAGTTTAAGTTATGATGCTCTTTGGCAATAAAGTGCAAGAATCTCAAACAAGGGAGAGCTTGTTACCTTTGCCAGGTGAGAGCAAAAGAAATGCTTCTAAAAACTTAAGGTTCATATCAAACTAATGGGACAAGACCTGAAATATTCTTTCCTATGATTCTGATTGATTCCTATGCTAAACTTCCAAAAAAATTCTGTTTATACATCATTAAGTAGTTGCCTGGCTGATATTCTGTGACTCATATCAGAACCAGGGTTCCCAAGTTGCAGATACAGTATAACCTCAAATCTATCATGCTTGGGACCGAGCACCTGCTGGAAATTTAGAAATGCCAGACTTTTGGAACCGGTGCAGCAGCTGGTTGCAGAGCAGGGGCAGCGGCAGGGGGGTGGGGAGCAGTGGTCAGTCTCAGAGTGGTGGGGAAATGCTGGATGTTTGATATCTGGATTTATGAGGTTATCCTGTATCACAAATTCAGAGATCCACCACCACAAAGTTCACACCTTGACTTCCTTATTTCTTTTCCTAAGAACCCTGGCACATAAGACCCATGCAAGCTTCAAGCACATATCTGTATTTGGTTATTCTATTGTCTGCATAAGTAAGTAGAGTTGGTTAGTATTTCTCCAATGTTTGCAGTAGTGTTGGTATATAGTGGGTTGTATGGTGTTATTTCCTTAAAAAAACAAATCTGGTTTTGTCAGGCCAGCTCAGGTTATTGAGTTAAATGAAAACACTTGGTCTGGGACAAAGTTGGTAACCTTTGTCCTGCTCCGCTGCTATTGTGCATCAGGGGAGTTTGTTTTTAAGGTGCCTTGTGATCATTCTCCAGGCTCCCATTATTGTGATATTGTGGCATCTAAATATATACATTATGGGGGGGGGGACTAATCCATACAAAAGGAAGGACCAGGCATTCCAGCAAATCAGCCAACGGTCACATCAAGCCAAAAGTGAAAAAAAACTGAAAAGTTTTATTTCGTTGTCAGAACTTTAAGAACATTTTAATTTTGTCTTTTTCCAAAACGTGAGAATTTTACCTGGCTTTTCTTACATAACCAAAGTCCTACCTGCTGTTCTTTGGTGTAGCTTAAATGGAGCAACTTTTATTTATCCCAGGGTGCTGTAGAGCAGATGTTTAAGAAGCATATAGAAGAGATTCCCTGGATACAAATCAAGCCATTTATTACTCAGGCACTTTTTAATTTTAAAAAATTAAGTGACCACAAAGTGGAGCACTCTAGAATCCTAAAATCATAATGTTTAAAAAAGAAAAGGCCCTCCTTTGTTAAAGCAAGGGCAGAACACAGGATTCATTAGTTCTTTGCTCTGATATTAAAGAATCCTCTTTAATATCAAACAAAGGAGCCCTTGTTCTGTCAGTGCTTGCTGCCTACCATAGTACTTGCTCCATATGACCATCACATGGAAGGAAGAACTGTTTGCAAATTTTAGAAAGGATGGACAAGTGCTTTGTCACAAATTGATTTAATATTGGCCCAGTAAAACATTATACTGTGCCAAATCTCCTGTTCTTCAGTGTTAAAAGGCTTTGGAAGTCAAGCCAGCCTACTGTTATGAATAAATGTTGTATTACTCCACAGATGTGATCCTTCTAGCCTATCACTTTGCCCAGGTCAGTTATTTGCATTAAACATAAGCCCGTGTTCACTTTCAAAACCTAATCTGCACCTTCTCTCATTCAGTATCACATGGTTGACTCCTGCTTCTAACTGGCCCATGATGCTGACCTTAGATTATCTCACACCTTCACATTGCTTCATGTGAGAGGGAAAGGGTCAAAGGTCCTCCTAAGCCTAGAAGCCTGTACAGCACAAAGGAGCAACAGCACCAGCATTATACCCAGCCAGAGACATAACTAGCATGTTGCGTGCCCTGGACAAAACCCTGCTCTGTGTGAGTGCATGCATGTGACAAAGATGGTGTGTGGGGGAGGAGGGGTTTGAATCCTGCAGGGCAGGTAAGACTAAGCCCCCAGGGGCTGCTGCTGCTGCAAGTACAGCAGCATTGTGGAGTTTCTATATCCAGCTGCTATTGCTACAGCTGCAGCACCATGGACTCCTGAGGAACTGCTGTCCTAGTATCCCTGGATCCAGCAACTTTTGGGCTTCCAGCACAGCTGACAGGTAATATCTTTTGGCATTAACGCAGCGCAAGATCTGAACACATTCCTCATGTATATTTTTATATAATACATATATTATCTCCTCTACATAATGCAATGCTTTAACCACTTAAAGTGGTTTTGAACAGTTCCCTGGAAAATGTCTAAAGAGCTCTCATTACCCTGAAAATTGCTATGACTCCTACAAAAACTGACAATGGGTTAGGCTACAATAATAGCACCAAGCAGCAGCGTCTCATTTTTTCTGGGGGCAAGGACTGTAATTGTTCTGTTTACACTTTACCTACTACAGTATGGCTTGATGTATGACTAGGGCTCCTAGACACCTATAGTAATACACACATAATACTATATAATTGATGTTTTTGAACTGTACTTAGTTCCAATGACTTAAGGAGGTTTCTGTAGTTGTAAATATCACTCAGCTTCATAAAGGACTGAACTGTGTATAAAGATCTTGTGGTTAATTAAAGCCATATTCTTTCTACACTGTGATCAGCAGTAGTAAAGGGCAAAAATGCATTAAAGCAGAACTTTTATAGTGGCTTACATCACAACTATGATGCCAAAAAATGTGTATGTGGTAACCACAGTAAGCATTTTTGGCATAATAGTTTACCTAGTACAATAGGGCTAATTAGTAAATGTAAATTGATATTTTGAATGTAGGAGTTATTGGAAAATAAACTGGATTTATTTTTCACCACTACGTTCAGCTTACTTCCCCACTGAAATCATCTACACAAGGGATACTATTAACAAATGTAAATCAGCTTAAGTCATGGAACTGTAACAGTGTACACTTTGATGTTAACTAGGTGTTGGTTTCCATGAAACTGTGTCAATTCTACTGCAAGACAATGGAGGATCCACCTAGGATGGAACTAGGTTACCAGAGCTACACCTAGATACATTAGTTCATCATGGATAGCATAAAGGAAAATATCTTTAGACAGGTTAATGCTTTTCTAAATGATACTTACTGGAAGAACAAGGCCTCTTAGTGTAATTTCTCCAGTCATGGCTACATCTGAACGCACCAACCGCCCACTGAAGAGTGAGGCAAGACAGGTTACTATGGTTACACCAGCAGATGGTCCATCTTTTGTGACAGCTCCAGCTGGGAAGTGCAGATGGATGTCGGTGTTGTCAAGGAGATCAAAACTTCCAGAAGCTCAAAGAGGAGAAAATGTGGAAAATTCAAACCTGTGTTGTTCCTGGGCTTTGTTCTAAAAAGACCACTGGAAAACTAGCATTCTTACCAAGTCCATTACTTGACAGTATATTAATGCACACCACATGGATCTTAGAAAAAACTAATGCTTGTTATGCCCACAGTTTGCTATCTATCTACACAATACAAATCACTGTGAATAAGTTACCATTGAAGACATTTACTTTTATTAAAGAGCTCAAGCATTCAAAGTTGAGATTAAGAAAACAATCAGAAGTAGGAAGATGACAACTACTATCCTTCAAGAACAGACCAAAATCCCCCCAAAAAAGTGCATATTTGCCAACAAACTAAGCTTACCCTTTAGTATGTGAGAACTGACATTTTTAGCTTGCCCATCTGGGTTATTCATGGGTACATGATATTTCTGCATAGTTCAACAGTAAAACCCACACGTATTTAAAGGCAGCCATGTAGTCTATACCTGTATAGCATAAGGTTTTGAACTGTTTATTTTTCCATAGGAAATTGAAATAATATAAAATAAGGCCCCCGAGGCCTTTACATCTCAAATATTACAGAACTGGGCTAGCAAGGGAAAAGAAAAGAGTGAAAATGAACTAGTGGCAAAAGAGCACTTTGCAGCAGTCAGTGCAGGTTCTGAACCCCACATACCATTCACACAGTAAAATCTATAACCTGGATCTAAAAATGCTTTTCAGTCCAGTTTAGTTCACCCAGATTGAAGTATTAGGGTCTGAGCTCTGAGTTTAACTTGGCTGGGAATCTTTCTACTGTGTTTTCCATGAAGCCTCACTGTAAACATTTGAGTATCCTTTTCTAGTTCCACCTGAAAAGCAGGCAGAGACTCCTACAAAACTGACAGGGAAAGAACCAGTGTCTCAAACAAGAAACATGGAGTATGCCCCCAGAAACAAGCTGAATACAGAAACAGTGAGAACGCAATGGGTGGAGGAGCTGTGCTGTGGGAACTTCTACCTTGACTAAGGCTGGAATTCACGTCCAGATTCCAACTACCTTGATTTAATATGACACTCTCAGGGATGAAGAGAAAAGTGGAAAGCATACCATTTTAAACCCTATAGATATTTTACAAACTAAGGCCACCAACAGAACACTGAACCGAAGCCTCAGCTGTGGCCAGAGCTCAGCAGAAATCAGGACAGAAAGAAGCACAAATGAAATATACTCAGCTGCTGGTTTGCTTCAGCTTTAGTGGAGAGCAGCCCTTTTTTCCTTTTAGGCAAATATAGTTCTGTTTACTAAATAACTGCTTAATAGAAAGGCAAAATACCTTTTCATGTTAAATATTCATTATTAAAAACCCAACAACATATTTCTGAGGCATCAGGGAAACACTCAAGTACTCCATAGGAATTAAAACCAATTACTTATATGCATCTCTGCAGCTAGTGGTCACTGATAGGTATCCATCTCTGTTGTCTTAGGTCTATACCAACATTCTTGTCTCGCATTTTTCACATACCATTAGTTAGCTGGTATTTCTTCGCATTGCTGCGCAGCCAGCTAATTGCAAGATGTGCTGATTCCTTCATGACATCCCCCAGCTGTCCCGTTAAAGTAAGTTGACCATCTCCATCCATGCGGCTTGCTTCTACAAACATGATCTCACCGCCTAAGGGCGTCCAAGCCAAGCCTATGGCTACTCCTGGTTGACTTAAACGTTCAGAGACCTTTAAAAAAAAAAAAAGCAGCTCAGGTTAGAACAAGATTTTCAAGATAGAGAGCTAGTGAGATTTTTATGAGTTTAAAAGCTCCTAATTAGCATTCATAATACTAAAATTCTCTGTGCTCTTCTGAAGGCATGTATAACCCCTTTGGCCTGAGTCCTAGAGAAAGTTTCCAGTCTTCTGTTTAATTCCATCCTGCAATAATTCTCCAAAATGTGAAAAATCCAGGAATAGAGAATAATGGCAGTTCTAGCCTATGGCATATAAATGGACATGTCTACAAAGGTCAATACCAGTCTTTCTTTTGACATCAATAAACTTTGACTCAACGGCAAATGCATTTCTTCAAATATTAGTTCCAGGTTGGAAACGAGCTCCCTGACTTTTTTCATACGCCCCAGGTACATCTGACCTGGCCATTCTGGCAAAAGAGTTTTGTTAGAACTGAATTTTAAGCTTGAATATTATCCGAAAGCCAATGTCAAAATATTCAAAAGGGAATACCAGCAATTTGTGTTATGTTACATGACGAGAAAAGTATCACTATACATGCAACTAACCACAGCACAAATGTTACTCACGGCAGACCCCTGTAAATTCCAAACAGTGAACACATCTAAGAATATTACAATGCCAGCAGACTGTGTGACAAGAGAAAGTACAAAATTTGTCACAAATTTTTCATTACAAATGGTTTGCCCAGCGATTTTACTGAACAAGGCCCTGCCCTTCAGGAACTACTAAATGCCTGTGGCCTACTTATCTGAAAGACTGCCTGTCTCCCTTTGTCACCCAGCCACTGGCGAGAGCAGTGCAGATACCCAAATTAAAATCACACGAGAGGGAAGAAGATGATCTCCTGTGAGGCACCTCTGGTATGGAATGGTACGCCCAGTCTAAAAGGCTTCTGTTTATTGAACCTGACATGACAGGTTTTCCTGTCCAGAGCTCATTTGTTTTCCTGACCTGAGAGAGGCCAGAAGGACCCTTCTGGGAGATTGTTTTCAATTACTGGGTTGTGCATTTATTACTGGCCAGAAAGTGGATATGGGATATCTTTGTGATTTTGTTCTGTATCATGCAGTACCTACAGCAAAAGAACAGGGGCTCTTTTGTAGAGATTGAGTGTATAAATTTAAAGAAATAAAAAATAAATAAAGGAGGCATACAATTTTCCTTTTCATGTTAATATCTCCCCTCTCTCCAACTCCTTCTGTACTGTCACCAAATACTTAGGGTGACAGCTCTCTCAGCTCCAAGAGCTCTCATTCTATACTGCACACCTTTGTGTAAGAAACACTTTTCAGAGATTTGCTCTCCTCTTAGGGTTGCCACTTGAAAACAAATTGTGGAAATTATTAAGCCCCATGTAGAACAAGCTGTAAGTGTGTCAGAAGGATGTCTGTACCAAATTATGAATGCAATATTCTGTGACTTCCAGTCTGGGTGTTAAGTGCTGTTCATATTCCTCGTAGGACACACCTGCCCAGTCCAGACAAAGCCCTATTCAGAAGCAGCAAGACGCACCTCTCAGAGAAGGCTTGAAATGACATGGTTTCAACTTTAACCACCTCAGCTGGCCCATAGGAACCAGCCTGCCTGTGAAAAGTGACTGAGGTTCCACATCTTCAGTCACAAAACCCATGGAGTCAGAGGCTTTGATTTTGTGTGAAAATGTTCTCAGGAAGCAAAGCTACCTGCCACCGCATAGATTCATAGATTCATAGATTAAGGGTCGGAAGGGACCTAGTAGATCTTCTAGCCCGACCCCCCGCCAGGGCGGGAGAACAACAAAAAACCCCAAAAAGAGAAACGGGACTCAAATGAGTCCAGCCAGGTAGGCATCCAGCCTCTTCTTAAAGACCCCCAGGGTAGGGGCCAGCACCACTTCCCTTGGAAGTTGGTTCCAGCTCCTAGCCGCCCTAACTGTGAAGTAGTTCTTGCGGATGTCCAATCTATACCTCCTCTCCATCAACTTGTGCCCATTACTCCTTGTTATGCCAGCGGGCGCTAGGGGAAACAGCGTCTCCCCCAAACCCTTCTGGTCCCCCCTAGTGAGTTTATAGACGGTCACCAGGTCCCCCCTCAGCCTTCTCTTGTGGAGGCTGAATAGGTTCAGGTCCCGCAGTCTCTCACTGTAGGGTCTGCCCTGTTGTCCCCGGATCATGCGGGTGGCCCTCCTCTGGACCCTCTCCATGTTGTCCACATCCCTCTTGAAATGGGGCGCACAGAACTGGACACAATACTCCAGCTGTGGCCTGACCAGCGTCGCGTAGAGGGGGAGGATCACCAAAGACCAGGCTGGAGAGTGTCTTAAAAACCTAAAGGTAGAAATAAGTCATCTGGCTCTGCCTTGACCATTAGGTATTTCAGTCTTTTCTATCAAAATGCCCCAATAGCTGTTAAAATACTCTCAGGTGTTTCACAGCCTTACTTTCTGCAACAAGAAACAACAAGGTCATGGACTACTTGGATCACTAAGGATCATACAGTTGCATCATTACAGTTTGTATCAGGTTTACTTGGTGTTAATACAGTTCTTATGTATTAAAATCTTCAACCTTGTGATTAAAAATCCAGGATTTTTAAACAATTTAAGTAAGATGAAATGGCTGTTATGCTGCTTATTTCACAAAGCAGGACTCCTCCTGTCAATTCAGCATTCAGGATGCACTCCACCTCCTCAGAAAAATACAATTAGACTTGAAAATGCAACAATTTCTTGATGTTCAGCTTTCCAAGTCCCCTTTCCAATTTCAAAAGTGCAAAGCAACTTCCTTTTTGTAAGTGAGCAAGTGCTCACTCTACAACCGATGCCACTGGCTACTGCCAAAAGGATACGTACAATGAAAGGCTGGTTCAGTTTCCAATGCAGTTGCAGCCAGCTCAAAGGTATGACACAAGCTGTCTTCCACATGAGTAAGAATAAGAGTTAGTGTAAGACAGTAACATACATTTGGGTACTTGATTGCCTTACACAAGCAAACTTAAATGCTCGTGCTCCTTTGCAGGGTGCTGTTCTTTCTGGTTTTGTGATGTTTTGTCTGATGCTGCCAGGTGCTCTAGACGGCAGTAAAGTGGAGTAAAAGACAACTCTGCTACCTGAGACTGGCTCCTGCACTACATCCTGCTTACATCTCCTGCAGGATGTAAGACGTAAACTGGTAGGATGCAAGGGCATAGCACAGCGTTTCCCAAACTTCTGGGGTTTACACTCTACCATAGTAGAGCCAGCCACTCTTGCACCCCCTGCTTCAGTGGTTTGATGCTTCTGTACATACACAGCATTTGCACATTTAAGCAGTGCTCTTAGCTGCACTACCCCCTTAGGAACCTTCTTCACCCCCACATGGTGGCACACCGACCTTGGGAAATGCTGACTTAGTGACTTTGGACTGAGGAGAGACGTTATGCTGTTTGCACTTGTGTTAAATGGTTTAAATAAGAATAGTTGCTTCTTTTATTAGAATGTGGTTTGTACATAAGGAACTTGATTTCCTTTATTTGGCATTCTTCAAAGGAACCAGGAGAACAGATTCTGCTGGAAACTCTTCAGGATGGAAGTCTAATGGAAGCCTTTCAATCCTTGAAATTCTTTAGCTACAATATACTACTACTCTTCAGTTGGTATGAGGATACTCAACTTCAAATGTATTTCTTCCCACAGCAAGAAGGCAACTCAACTAATAAAGAACCAAGGATCATTTGATCTCTGCATGGCCTGAAGTACTTAAGAATTTTCCAACATTTAATTTCTCTTGCTCTGGATACAGACCAGCTGTGTGACACTCATGCCTTTGACCAGCTCAGTCATGCCTTTAAGCATCTCAAGCAGAATCTTGCACAATGAAGCAAGAGCACTTCTCCCCACTAGCCTTCTCTTTACAGCAGTACGGGCCAAACTTTTCTGCAGGCTTGCCACAAATTCAGCCTGCATCCTCTCCAAGTGCAACTCTGCTCCCTCCCTGACCTGCCACGTGCCACACAGGCTGCCCATATCACTTGCAGGTGAACCAGGGTGCACACTGCTGGGACTAGGAAAACGGGAGTTCTGTTCTCAGTGGTTCTACTTGCTGGCACTGACACTCCATATACTTCATAACCCTCATTCCTGAGCAAAGCCTCATACCCTCCCCTCATGCTCAGATAAGCATCTTCTTCCGAGTTTACAAACAAGGTAACAGAGATTGCATTACATGAATGTAGGTAGATCTAGGAATAGAAACCATGTCTCCAACAACAGATACCCCAAGTGGCACCTACTTTTCACCCACCATCCTTTGGCAGAAGCTAACCACTGACATGACTAGGGGAGGTAAACTACCTGCACTATATTCCTGGAGGAGGGTCCTATCCAGATCTGGATAAGGCCCATTGGCAGAACAGTGGGAGTAGGAAGCTAAATCCACACAATTTTAAACTGAATTTGATTCTGGTTGTTACATTTTTCCTAAAAATATCACACAGCTACATAAAGCTTGGTTGCTTTGTGGATAAAGACTTTAGCCACTTCACAATTGCTCCTTTTCCTCACTCAATGGCAAAGGAATTCAAATGAGGATACAGATACACTTTCAAAAATAACTCAAATTAATTAGTCTCTGAAATCAGCTGATGGCAAATCTGTTTAGAAGTGGCTGGGCCTCCTCTGGTATTTCAGGTGGGAAAGGGAGAGGAAAGCCAACTGCATAAATCAACTTCCTCTTCAAGGTAACTATCCCAGGCAGAGATGAGACCAACCTGTGTTCTGAGCCGCCTGGGCATAACCGGGTTAACAGCCATTACTATATTGGTTTTGGGCGTGTAGACAGGGTGAAAAATTAAAGGTCTTAACATTTAGATGGAAGATTTTTTTTTCCTTTTTTGACTGTCTGCAGAGTTAAAGGAGAAGAAACATTAGCAGACTGCCCACAGTTTCAAATGTGAAAAAGAAAAGAAATGGGGGGGAAAGCACAGGAGCCAAAATCTAACCTCATGCAATAGACTGCTGCCTTCCAGCAAGA